AAGTGAGTATTATGCTATAACGAATTATGTATACAGGTTGGTGTATTAATAAAACAAGTTAAAAAAGAAATACAGCACAATATTAATTTGTCTATACTTTTGTCCATTACTGTAGGTCAAAGACATAGACAGGTAGTTTCAAAACCCACCATCTCCAACTTGTTTCAATAATTTTTAGGTGTAAGTAGTTGAAACTGATTATTTCATATTACTAATACGTCTTTATATTAACTGATAAACATTATAAAATATATAAACACAAAGATTTTCCTCGTTAGTTTCTTACCAGCAGTTTTTTGCATTTTTCTCAAAACGGTTTTGAAATTATACGGTTCAATCAAGCATTTAATAAACATATCTTATGGGTATTTTGAGAAAAGTTAATGATACATTTTTGACCAAATGAATTAATTTCACCTCACTATACGTGAGAGAGCGTTGACATATGGCTGTCCTGTATTGCGGTAATGTGAGGAGATTGTTGAGCGTACTCAAATTGTAAATCAAATTCCTATAAACCAGATTTGGCCCAAGGTAACAGGGAACACAAGTTTTTAACATTTTCATGACAAATGTGACATTTTGGATATGTTTAAAAAATTCATGGAAGCTATTGAGTGACAAATGTGATCGTACCTTCTTAAATTGTTTATATAGCGACAGCATGTATCTTGAATCTTTTGCAGCCTGTATTTCTCCTCGAGACAGGGATAATAAACAATGTTGCAGTGAGCTATTTTACTCAATATCAATCATATCTTATAGTTTTTTTTTGGAAAAGTTAATAATAAATTTTTAATTAAATGAATTGATTTCACCGTATTATACGTGAAAGAGCGTTGAAATATGGCTGTCCTGTATTGCGGTAATGTGAGGAGATTGTTGGGCGTACTCAAATGTAAATCAAATTCCTATAAACAAGATTTTGCCTAAGGTCAGAGGGAACAGAGGTTTTTAATATGTCCGAGTGAGAAACGTGATTTTATAATTGTTTATACAGGGTGTTTCAGTTTATTGTTGCATAACTTTAAGATTCGATAGAACTTTTAAAATTAATGCATAAAGTCTATATAAACATGGGTCGAAAAATACGTGTCCTCCGAAATATAGAGTGTTTAAATTTACTTTCTAAAATAGTTTTTCTTAAATATGTCGAACAATATTTGATGTATAACAGTGAAAATTGGTATGCAAGGGGTTTTTGGTACGACAAAACGAACCATGGGCATAGTTTTTAGCCGCTAGAAGGCGCTCTCTACTGTACCTGTAGTGTATTAAAATGAGTGGAAATTTTTTCTCAGTGCAATTCTTTGCTTTTTGAACAAAAAAAAAACTGATTCTTCGCACTTTTCAACATAAAATTTGTGAATTTTCGTTATAGTTAGCCGTTTTTGAGATATTTCGATTTTTAAGGTTCGATGCATTTTTAATTAATTATGATAAAATAACGTTAAAAAGTCAGTATCTCGATAATTTTTAGAAGTAGGCTGTGCCTGCAAATGTTTTTGATATTGAAAGCAGAATAAGGTTAAACGTCAATTAGTTGACAGTTAGTTTTGTTGTCTGTTGAAACCTGAAACGTTTTTTTGCAATTGTGAATGCACGAAATTTAGTTTCTTTTACCTGTTTTTTTTGCAAGTTTTATAAAAATGCCATTTTTATTCTCCAATCAAGAGTTAGCGGATTATTCATTCTCTGTATGGCTTTGTAAATGGAAACGCAGCAGAAGCAGCCAGAGAATACGCACGAAGATTTCCAAACAGACGACATCCAACTCGCTCAGTATTTGTAAGAGTGCATCGCCAAATAATTGAAAATGGTTTTGGAAATCTCCAAAGGGATCAAAACATAAATGTTCCTCAGCGCAGATTTACCCGTATGATTCTGCGTGAGTTTGATAGAGATCCGACCACAAGTGTTAGGAGAGTTTATGGTTCCTTGGGAATTTCAGCAAGCCATGTTCACCGTATTCTTTGGCCCGTATCGTCAGTCGTCCCTACAATTGTAGGCGCGTTTAGGGCCTCCTTGATTGTCATCCTCCTTTCTCTTCCTAAAAAATTTCTAGATTACACTTGTCCCGTGTCAGCGTCAGCACTCTCCTATTGTGAAGATATGTTTTCTTTTTAAATTGTAGGAAATTTCAGGCTGATAAAACATGATATTACTCAAGTGCAAGCACAATTTGATGCAAATAGATGTTTGTGACATAACCTCAAAATAGAGTTCTGACACGGAGAAGCAGAAAACTATGGCAATCAAGGAGGCCATAAGGGGGCAATACAATTGTAGGGACGACTGACGATACGGGCCTTAGAAATGACCATAGACGTCCTTTCCATTTGCAACCTGTGCAAGGACTACAGCCAGGGGACGGAGAACGAAGAATCACATTTTGTCAGTGGATTCTTGATATAACTGATAATAATAGGGAGTTTTTAAGTAACGTTTTATGGACCGATGAGTCATGCTTCACTAGACGTGGAGTGGTAAATTTTCATAATCAACATATTTGTTCGCATCAAAATCCGCATGTAGTTCGGGAAAGAAGTTTTTAGCATGAATTTAGTGTGAACGTGTGGATTGGTATCTACCGTAATCGACTATTTGGACCCTACCTTTTGCCTGCAAGGTTAAATGCTGCGACCTTCTTGGAATTTTTAAAGGCTGAACATGCAAATATGTGGGATGATGTTATGTTATATTTAAGAAGATTGGCCTGGTTCCAGATTGCTGGTTGTCCAGCTCATTATTCGAGAATAGTTAGAAACTTTCTGGACGAAAATTATCCAGAAAGATGGATCGGCCGTGGAGGACCAGTCGCCTGGCCTCCACGATCCCCTGACCTAAATCCATTAGATTTCTTTGTGTGGGGATTTCTAAAAGAAAAGTCCCATAACCACAAGAGATATGCTAATAGACAGAATCAGGAATGCATGTGATGAAATAAGGCCTTATTTGAATAATGCTATACCACGTTCGATCATTCGTAGATGTGAATTGTGTATTGAACAATTCGGTTTACATTTCGAGCAACTACATTAGATTTTGTATGTTTGTCCTAACTATCCAATAGCATTTTAGTTGTAAATAATTAATATAATTTGTTAAAAATAATATTGGAAAATTAAACAAATTAATACTCTGTTTTTTGTGTTTATTTGGAGTTAGGAATTATTGCTGTGTTTAAAAACACAATCTAAACGATCATCTTAATTACTTGTAATGCCCAAATCGAAAATGTAAAAAAATATTATTTTCCCATAAATAATTAAAAATGCATCGAACCTTAAAAATCGAAATATTTCAAAAACGGCCAACTATAACGAAAACTCAGAGGAGAGCCTGTTTATGTTGAAAAGTGCGAAGAATAATTTTTTTTATTGAAAAAAAAAAAATTGCACAAAGAAAAAATTTTCGGTCATAAATACACTACAGGTACAGTAGAGAGCGGCTACAGTAAAACTATGCCCATGGTTCGTTTTCTCGTACCAAAAAACCCTTGTATACCGATTTTTACTGTTATACATCAAATATTGTTCGAAATATTTAAGAAAAAATATTTTAGAAAGTAAATTTAAACACCCTATATTTCGGAAGCCACGCATTTTTCGACCCATGTTTATATAGACTTTATGCATTAATTTTAAAAGTTCTATCGAATCTTAAACTTATGCAACAATAAACTGAAACACCCTGTATAGCCGCAGGATGAATCTTGAATTTTTGCAGCCGTATTTCGTCCAGACAGGGATAATAAACAATGTTGCAGAAAGCTATTTTACTCAATATGAAATACTCGCATAGCATTACCTTAAAACAACAACAACAAAACAAAACGTGAGATCATGGTTCGGGAAATACAGAGTCGACATACTTGATTCTTTCTTTTCTATAACTTTAACAAGGAACCACTCCGTTGAAGTTGAAGTAATCATTTGATGTTCATCCCTGTGTATATTTTTCTGGGGGCAGTGAAATAATGTTCCGTCCGTTACAAAAAATTCAACTAAACGGGCACTGGCACTACATCACTTATTGTCCGATCACAGCATTGCAATCATCGACGGCCTTTTAGCTCAAAATCGCGATGAAACATTCGTGTCACAAAAGTTCAGCACTGATCGACCGTATTGTATCTGGACAGTGTTGCTGTATGTCCTGTTTACTTTTTATCAACATGTTTGAAAGCGATTGCTTTATGCGAGGACGAACGATGCATTAATGGACTCTTATCTTCGGGAATAAAAAATGTTTTTGCTGGTTTTAGTTCCCAGACGAGGAAGTATTATGATCGTGGAAATGAAAATATCGGAAATGAGTTACTATATTTTTTAGATTGTTTACTGTTCGATTTATTTACCATCATCTTAAGTATTACAGCTATAGGATTACTACACCACCTAAAACAGCATGTAAAATTGTACCGTAAAACTTATAGGATTTCTGGACCACTACACGCTCTGGACCAAAGTACATTCTAGACCAGTCTCTCTAGACCAAAAGTAATTCTAGACCAGTAACTCTAGACCAAAGTAACAAAAAAAAATCCCAACGCTCCTCCGTGGCCATCCCCCATACCCTCTCGCGCGTGCGCGCATGGGCATGGGGCTCGTTCTGGTGGTGTTGGGGTAGGTAATGCGCGGGTAAGTTTGCGTTGTGTACTTTGGGATAGGGGTAAGAATAAGCGATACGCTGTAAGGAGTTTATCTATCTTTATTTTGAGGTACGTTATGCATAAACAAAACATTGTACATCTTGTTTTGCTATTCTAGGAAACTTTTTCTTAAATGCTTCCACCAGATCTCGATACCCTAGTTTTCCTTTTTCAACAGAATAGATAGGAAAGCACGTCTATGCGTAAGTGATATGACTCATTTCATGTTTTGCAATAAATTTTTGCATATAGATGGATAAAAGCCGATGAACAATGGTAATTATAGATGCAATTCTGTGAATTCAGTATAAATGAAAAAACGTATGTATTATAAAATTCTCGGGAACAATGCGCATAGGATGATCTCACTAGTCAACACGTCATACTCAGTGTACATATAAAAACGGAATTGCTCATTCGTCGTGCATACAGTTAATGAGTAGCAATAGATGCAGTTGCACCTTATTTACATACAGGCTTGTAAAGTGCGTGCGCGAAGTGATTGTAAATAATTTCTGGTAAGTTTTAATTTTTAACATTGATACAATATTGAAAACATAGTACAGACTATATATTGTGTATCTAATAAATTCCAACAAGGCTAGTATTTTAATTTTGTTTTTGATGTATTGAAAGAGCAAATAGTTAGATGAATGCTAATATATTGATTTTTATGTTAACTTCTTGGTAACTTCTATCACTCACAATTTTTTATTCATTCATTTTAGATAAACATGGACCTAAACAAGATAAATGAAATTGCAGCTACGGGCCACACGAGTAAGCCGAAAAAGAACCTGTACGAGCTACCGCTTAACCAATACCAGACTGTATTTTCATTAAGAATCGTACAAGGACGTTTTGGACAGGTGCCGTTGGTGGAGCTACAAAATTTCATAGTGTTTCTACCAGGGAGAGCGACAGAAGTGATCATCGAAAACCTAGAAAATTTCACTCCGGGACGTTACGCAATTGCGTATACAGGCAGCGAGGCCAGCTCTTTCGAAGACAATCAAGTTCACCATTTTAAGCTGAAGGATCTACACGAATAAGTAAGAACACTACTTGTATTATATGCTAAGATTGTTATTCTCAAGGTAAAGTAATATTGATTTGTTTTGAACGAAATTCAATGACCCTTTCAGAACCATTCAGCGAATCGGTTAAAAATACTGTTAAGATTTTTAAAAAAGCTTATGAAACTCTTACTGAAAAAATACATGCTTCTGAATCAGATAAAAAACGTTGGATAAAACTGATTAATGAAAATTTAAAATTTTTTTACAAAGCTCTTATAAAATGGTGAACTTGATTGTCTCCGAAAGAGCTGGCCTCGCTGCCTGTATACGCAATTGCGTAACGTCCCGGAGTGAAATTTTCTAGGTTTTCGATGATCACTTCTGTCGCTCTCCCTGGTAGAAACACTATGAAATTTTGTAGCTTCACCAACGGCACCTGTCCAAAACGTCCTTGTACGATTCTTAATGAAAGTACAGTCTGGTATTGGTTAAGCGGTAGCTCGTACAGGCTCTTTTTCGGCTTACTCGTGTAGCCCGTTGCTGCAATTTCATTTATCTTGTTTAGGTCCATCTTTATCTAAAATGAATGAATAAAAATAATAATAATAACAATAATAATAATAATAATAAGTAGTAGTAGTACCTACAGCTATAGGATTACTAGACCACCTAAAATAGCATGTAAAATTATACCGTAAAACTTATAGGATTTCTGGACCACTACACGTTCTAGACCAGTCTCTCTAGACTAAAAGTAATTCTAGATCAGTAACCCTAGACCAAAATAACAAAAAAAAATCCAAACGCTCCTCCGTGGTCATCCCCCTTACCCTCTCGCGCATGCGCGCAGGCGCATGGGGCTCGATCTGGTAAGTTTGCGTTGTGTACTTTGGGATAGGGGTAAGAATAAGCGATTCGCTGTAAGCAGTTTATCTATCTTTATTTTTTTCCCATAGTTAGATGTTGTTTTGTATTTAATTGTCCTATATAATAATTTCCCTTTGTTATCATAATGTACCTCTACAGTTATGTTTCTTGTTGGTTGGTTTGGTAGGGCTGATACGCTTTTCCTCTTCTTGCAAGTGCAACTTTGTCCATGTTGTTGTTGTTACGTGTTTTTGGTGGATGGACCAGATGTCATTGATGTAGGTGTCGCCGAAGATGGTGTCGACTCGATCGATTCAGAGCAAACCAGAGAGTTGTCTTCTTCTTCTTCTTCTGAGAGCGTGTGATAATTTATAGACTTTGGGCAGTAGCAGAAGTGTTTTCGTCATTTTAGGCAGTATGCTGTACCGTACTGTGACATTATAACAAATAATGGAAATAATCAAGCCCAACAATTATATATGTGTAATTTGAATAGTGAGTATCGTTTGTTTTTTTTTAATAGAAGGAAGAGATACATAGTCATACATCCTTCAATTGAAAACTGTCGAGTTATATTTTTCAACAGAATAGATAGGAAAACACGTCTATGCGTAAGTGATCTGACTCATTTCATGTTTTGCAGTAAATTTTTGCATATAGATCGATAAAAGCTGATGAATAATGGTAATTATAGATGCAATTCTGTGGATTCAGTTTAAATGAAAAAACGTATGTATTATAAAATTCGCGGGAACAATGCCTATAGCATGATCTCAATCAATAGTCAACACGTCATAATCATAATCATAATATTTTTTCAATTACGCAGTTGAAAAAAGCTCTCAGTCCATACGATGATAAACGTTATTTAATCAAAAACAATCATGATACTTTACCTTGGGGACATTATACCATAGTATCAAACGAAGATACGTAACATGTACAATTTTATTTTAGTTATGATAAGCCTTAGAGAATTATCACTCAAAAAAGTTTTGTAAATGTGTAAATTCAATCGTTACTTTTACTAATGTGTCACCATTACCATGGACACTAACTGTGGAAGTCATCAAATGTTATGCGAATTTTAAATGGTGAAAAGTATTGCTTGAGGCACACGATAATCCTTTATGAGATATTTTGATTATACAATCAGTGGAGCATACAAGGGAAATACCTAGTGAAACTCATAGGAAGGCACTTTTATATCAAGCAAATTTTGAAGACATATATATTTTTCCAAAGTATTGTGTTTGGGTTGACATTTGTTACATTCCAGAATATAATTTAAGATTATGTCGTGGTTGCTGTAACGCATTTATGGTAGTATTAGGTTTCAGGAATCAAAAAAGAGCCATTGTTCTTCGTGACCATATTGATATGGTATCACAGGTTCAAGAAATTCATAGCTTATACAGATCTAAATATATGTAATGCCAAAATAACTTTTTGGAACCATTGTTTGGTTTGAAAGACGAATATACTTATGTAAATGACCTACATAACATCGATGATGATAATAATCTCCCATATTTTACGAGATTCGTAGATTCTGGTAACGATGATTCCGACATAGACTTTTAAGAATGTATGTAAATGTACTTGCATATACTGCTAAACATTGATTGTATCATATTATATGTATCGAAAATAAAAAATACGTTTTGCAATATGTCTATATGTTTCCTTATCCCTCGCTACAATAAAAAACACAAATTTCTTACAAAACCGTTTATTCAATCAAAGCTGCTTCATATACTGATAATTTACTAGCCAAATCACTTAAGAGCTTATTTTTATAGTACAGTAAGCGTTCTCGTTCACAATAACTTTCTATGTTATCATTACATACGTCACAAAAGGATCTTATTACAAGTTCATAATTTCTTTCTTGAGTTTGTAGTACTACGTTATAAACAATCTCTAAAAAGTTTTGATAAAATTGTTGGAAGTTCATTTTATATAAAGCACCTACTTTATATTTGATAATATTTTCATCAATATAATAATAATAATAATAATAATAATAATATTTATTCACTCAATGTACAAAGATAACAAACAATATGAGTAAATAAATATAAAATCAAAACAGGCCCAATAGAAGGCATCGCCTGTACATGGACCAATAAATTTAAGTTGAAACTGTAGAATGCAAATGACAAAAATTAGCTACAGTAGATTATGTATTTAGTTGATGTTCGTATTTATGAGTTTATGAATTTCAGTCCTAGATATAGAATGTAGCCACTTTTTTAAATTTCTTTTGAAACAATTTCCGAAACGTAAATCTTTTAAGTCTTTAGGTATAATTTCATAAAATTTAGGCGCTAAATAGAGATATGATCGCTGCATTATAGATTTATGCGGTTGAGGAACTACTGTGCCACGAATTTTGTACCTGGTATAATGATTATGTTTAATTTTTTGGTCGGTGTTTACAAATTTATGGTAGTGAGTGATACTGTGTAAGAACTAAAGCCGTCTTATATCATACATTCGAACATCTGCGTATAATTTTTCAGTGGGATAAAGTTTCGGTTTTTTAAATATCATTTTTAGAATACATTTTTGAAAAACTAAAATTATAGATATGTGAGGAACATGCAGCTCCCCATGAGATGAGGTTCAATCAGTGCATGGTATAATGTTCGAAGATATTTTTCTGTCAATATATTCCCAAGGTATTTAATTTTGTAGGATACAAATCTAACTTTCTTTAAAATATAATTGACATGGATGTCCCATCGTAAGTGAGGATCCAAGACCTATCCAAGGTATTTTATGTTGGGCACTCTATTAATTTGCATTTTTTGATCATTAATATTGAAGGAGAAATTTGTGTAATTTGGCAGATGTCTAGCATAAGATCCAAATGGTAAAAAATGTGTTTTAGAGTAGTTAATGCTTAATTTTCTACTGTTAAACCACCGAATAATTTTGATAAAATCATTTTCAATTACATTTTTCAGATCAGACCAGTCAGTGCCTTCATATAATATTGCAGTATCATCTGCAAAACTAGTTATTTTGCCAACACAATTAATTTGGAAAATATCATTTTAAATAGTATATTGAATAACAGCGGACCTAAGACAGTTCCTTGTGGGACACCACACTTAATATACATTTCTTTACTAAATGATCATGATATCTGCACAGATTGTGGGCGATTTGACAAATAACTTTCGATCAGTGAGTACGCGTTTCCTCTGAAACCAATTCTGTCCAATGCTTCTAATAATAATTTGTGATTAACTGTGTCGAAAGCTTTCTTTAAATCAACAAAAATGCAGATTGAAGGGATTCTGTTATCAATATTTTGAGGTATTTGATTTACAATTTTAGTTATTGCGTCCGATGTAGCCTTCCCTTCTGTAAATCCATATTGATTTTCACTTAAAATTTTGAATTTTGTGAGGTATCGAATCATTCTAGTAGATAAAACTTTTTCAAAAACCTTTGCTACACTGGATATTATTGATATTGGTCTATAGTTGTTAACATCTGTTTTTGTTCCTGATTTATGTATCGGTATTATATTACCTTTTTTTAAAATTGAGGGATATATGCCAGATTCAAAGCATTTGTTGATTAGGTAAGTGAGTGGTTCTGTTATGTCCTCGGCTATAATTTTCAAATGCTCGCTTTTAATACCATCGAACCCAGGACTTTTCCGATTTTTTAAGGACATAACAGTGGTGTATACTTCACATTGCTCGACTTTATCCAAAATAAATGAGTTCAAAGTTCTTTTTGGAGGCTGAGTATTTTGTACATTTGCTTGTATATTACTTGCTAAATTTTCGCCTATGTCAGTAAAGAATTGTACAAATTCATCGCATATCAATTTATTTAGGTAATGTTTTCATTTGGTTTGCCTTACAAGCTCTATAAATTTATTTTTATATTGGTTGTAGCAGTCGGTATTCTCTGTAGTTGGCGTTAGTTTCATTACATTATATAGTCTTTCTTTTTCTATTGCCGATGTTATTAATCCTTTGGTAATCCAGGCATTTCTGCTTTTCTCTTTGTGACTAATTATTACTTTATTGGTACTAATATCTATTAGTCTTTTTATTTTCTCTATGAACAGTCCCGTTGCTTTGTCTATATTATTTATAGAGTATAATTGTTCCCAGGATTCTTGTTTGACATTTGATATTAGTTTTGAATAATTGTCGACAAAAAATTTTTAATTTTCCTGGTTGTTACTAACGGTAGGGATGTTACAATGTTTTTCATTTGAAGATATCAGTAAAATAGTGGAGACGTGGTCAGTAATATCGCTTTCTAGGATTATTGGTATACAAGTAATTTTGTTGGATAGGTCTTTCACAAAGCAGTGATCTATACATGTGCCACTGATGGACCTTGTAGGTAGGTTTATATAGGACAGAAATCCGTTACTTGATAGGATATTCTAGTATTCATTTGTGATGGGATCATCGTCCAAAATATTTATATTGACATCTCCCAAGAAAATATGTTGCTTTAAATGAACTTTATTTTGATTTTGAAAAAAAATTCGATATTCTTTAAAAACTCGTGGGTTCTGAACATGGCGGACGATAAATTACAGATACCTCAATTTTGTTATGGTTAATTTGAATCATTATGTTTAAAATTTTGATTCCATCGGTGAAAGTGAATGTATCATGATTATATTGCAGTTTATTTCTTACAAAAACTATCACCCCATCGTTTTGGTTATAAGTGCCAAAGTTATACAGCGTGTCATATCCCTGCTGATTGAAGCAAGAAATATCAGCCACTTGCCACGTTTCAGTTAAAACTATTAGATCAAAATATGGAGTAAATCATTTATCACATTATGTGATAGATAAAAGCAAGCCCTAGTTGTGTAAACTTTAAAAATTTTACAATCTAAAGTTGATGTTTTGCATATTTTCACATCTTCATCACATTCAATATTTAATGTCCTCTTATTTGGATGTTGTAATGCATGGTACTTCATTGTCCGATAAATAGCTGATGTCCAAGCATCGTAGGGTGAAAATAAAAAACTCCCATTCGTCACTGAATGTGATTTGAGTTTCTATTCCTGATTTTTTTATCAATTTTACTGATGGTTCGAAACACCTTGCAATACTCAAACCACAGTGGATACTTAACGGACTACGATCAGCAGTTACATAATCTGTACCCAAAAAGTAAGGTGTTTTTTCTTGAAGAATTTTTTGTTTGCACTCCTTGTTTATTTTGTCAATATCCTTGCAGTAATTCTCAATCTCTGATTGATAGTTTTCACTATCTGATTCTTCACATTCTATGTCTTTACGGCAGAACATCTTTATGAATATTGATAGGATGAGCAAATGATAACACTATATCAATCTATCTCCCCACCACAATTTTTAAATATTATAAACGATTAGATGAGCTTATCCAACTGTTGTGAGAACTATCAAAGCCAAGCCATTTCACGTAAACTTTATTATTTTTCTTTCTTAGTACCTTCTCAACGAAATAAACATCTGGAATGGATGTTTTTTGTAATCCTACATTGTAAAATCCCCCTGAAATCGGATTTCCACGTAAATCTTCCAACAAATACGTTGTAGGATTAGTTATTTGAACTTTCCATATTTTAAATACCTCAGTTGTCCAATTCGGTAAATAATATCCTTTATTAAACGAATGCTTTTCTTTGGAGATTCTAACCAAGTTTCCAACTTTCAATTTTCTATTTCCAGTCATTTTGGTATGACTGTACACATTATTCAAAATATCATTTTCATTAGTCTTATTAACTTCAGATGGTCTTAAACCAATTGTACGATGCTTGATGATCATTATACATATCAACTAAGTCAAATAAAATATCATACCATCGATATGATCCATTCAAAGTAAAATGCTTAAATATTTTTTCTTTCAAAGTTCGTATTAATCGTTCTGCAATGGCTGCCTTTTTTGTCCTCAAGGTGCTGTAATGGTTTATATTATCTTTTTTTAAAATAAAACTAAAATGTTTGTTATAGTATTCTTTTCCATGATCACTTTGTATATTTTTAGGTACTCTATTTCCGTTGTTTTTTAGAATATAACTTCAAATGCTTTACATACTTCTTCTCCAGTTTTATTCTTAAGTGGTCTAGCCCATGCAAGTTTAGAGAAACAATCAATAACTATCAGAATATAACGATACCCTCGATTTATTTTTGCATAAGGTGGCATCTCAATGAGATCTGTTTGCCATAAATCATCTAAACCTCGTATTATGGTTCTTCGTGTTTTGAAATTCTTTCGAATAGGCGTGTGCAGTTCGTTCGCAAGCTGAATTTTTTCTGTAGAATGAGTAGCTTTCATGGTGACTATTAGTTAATTACTTGAATTATTTGGTACAAATGAGACCTTATACTACGCTATTTGATTGTTGAGTATATTTTTTTTCTAGTATGTCGTATTTAGTTTTCAATTTAGTAAGTTTTCCTTGAATTTCTGCAATTTGTGTAGAAATTATCTATGTATGCTGAGTCTACGTGATAGTTCAACAGTTTCTGTAGATTTGATTCTATATCTGACACTTTTTTACTCGTATTTCAATTGACTGTGGTTTCGTGAACATTCTTTTGATAACCTTCCCGCTTTATTAATTCTCGTGAAATGAGTTCACTTAGCTCTAAGCGAAGTTTATTTAAAGTAATTACCTGATTACCAATATATTTT